ACCTGAAACCATTCTTAACCTGAGGTACCACTTTAGCTAATGGGGCCTCCCGCTGCCACCGCTCCGCCACCACACAATTTCTGTTCTCATCCTGAAGCAAAGTTCTTAACCTGAGGTACTATTTCTGGGTTAGCGGAATATGTAACTTGAAGCATCTGTAACCTGAAGCATCTGTAACCCGAGGTACCACTGTAAAGGACTGAACCACATTGTCTGCTACTTGAGAACAATGTGTAACTTTGTTCTATGCAATGTTTATTATAACTGCTCAGGACTGTTTCAGTGAAGCTTTGGAACTCATCCTTGGGGTGGAAAGCTTATTCATTTCTACACACGGTCCAAACAGTCCAGATTGGGGATTTTGTTGCATCAATTCCAACAGGCCACATTTGACTACCCCTGCTTCTTTCCAATATACTCACACAGTAGTGATGAGCAACTCAGAGCACACCCACAAAATACATTTAAAGCATTGCTATACCACTCTAACAACCATCATTTCCCCAAAGATTCCTGGAAACAGAAGTTAAAAGCGTGCTGGGAACTGTAGCTCTGGGAAGGGGGTCTCCTAACAACTCTCACTCTATCCTGAACAAACACTAGCTCCCAGGATTCCTGGGGGGAATTCATGACTGTTCAAATGGCATAACAGCATTTTAAGTGTTTGGTTTGGCCTTAGTTTATTCCCAGTCACAGTGTCACGTTTACTTGTATTTACCCATAAGTGTGTTCCACCCTGTGGCTAAATTCATCAATTTACCTTTCAAAATAATGTTCTTGAAAGTACAACATAGAGAATACACAACCCTTTAACATCCCGCCTTGTCCCAATGCAATACAATCATGTATTTGCATTTGACAGACACACAAACATTGCATCCTAACTTTGAGAACTTAGGGGACATCTAGCATAGCAAAAGCTTCATAGACATGGCTGCCATCATGAATCCCTCCCTCTCCTGTTGATACTATTATTATTTTGTCATTTATGCAGCACCTTCTGCATACATGGAAACTTGCAAAACATACATGGAAACTTGCAAAACAACAGTGTGACGCGGCAGCTAAAAAAGCCAATGCAATTCTGGGCTGCATCAATAGGAGTATAGCATCTAGATCAAGGGAAGTAATAGTGCCACTGTATTCTGCTCTGGTCAGACCTCACCTGGAGTACTGTGTCCAGTTCTGGGCACCACAGTTCAAGAAGGACATTGACAAACTGGAACGTGTCCAGAGGAGGGCAACCAAAATGGTCAAAGGCCTGGAAACAATGCCTTATGAGGAACGGCTAAGAGAGCTGGGCATGTTTAGCCTGGAGAAGAGAAGGTTAAGGGGTGATATGATAGCCATGTTCAAATATATAAAAGGATGTCACATAGAGGAGGGAGAAAGGTTGTTTTCTGCTGCTCCAGAGAAGCGGACACGGAGCAATGGATCCAAACTACAAGAAAGAAGATTCCACCTAAACATTAGGAAGAACTTCCTGACAGTAAGAGCTGTTCGACAGTGGAATTTGCTGCCAAGGAGTGTGGTGGAGTCTCCTTCTTTGGAGGTCTTTAAGCAGAGGCTTGACAACCATATGTCAGGAGTGCTCTGATGGTGTTCCTGCTTGGCAGGGGGTTGGACTCGATGGCCCTTGTGGTCTCTTCCAACTCTATGATTCTATGATTCTATGATTCTATCCTAAGCAAAAGGCAGGTGCTTACCCAAAGGACCTTATGATATAAATTATGATGAGCAAAACTAACAGCTAGACAGGAACCCTAGCAGTAAGTGTGTTGCACTATGGAAATTCAGGATGTATTGCCAGACTGCCAAGGTTTAAGCAACGACTCAGGATTTGTGTTGAAAACATGAAAACACGACGAACAAGTTGCTTAAAGCAGACACAATCAATGAAACATTGAAATTGACTCTGTCGAGCAAATAGCTTGTCCACATTCCGGGAACAAGTGCGTGGGCCTACAAATCTATACAATTCTGACAGGTAATTCGAAGTTGGAAATGATTACAAGATTTGACATGTAAATTAGAAATGTAAACATACTTTCTTGATCTAGCTCATGCCATCGATGGCTTTATGCTATGAAGCAGTCTATAAATGTGTTAAGTAAAAATAAATAAATAAAATAAAATAAAAACACAGGTGGGTAGCTGGCGCCCTAAACCACCTGCCTATATCGGAAGAACCTTGATCTGGACAGGTGAGCAGACCATTTCATTCTGTCATTCCTGAACCCTTCTAGGAAAGAATTATGCCTTCCATTCAATGATGCAAACCCCTTCTGTGTGGTCTCATGTTTCAGGGGGTAACATCATATTGGCACAGGGGTGCAAAGTAATTGCCACATTTGAATCTGCATCTTTAGTATGTTGCGAACACAGTGGGTTGGAGAGAAACGTAAGTAAAACCATGAAGGCCATGCCAGTGGAATATTTGAAAATATCTTTGTGGATATAGGGTTGCCATATGTCTGGAATTTCCTGGACATATATGGAATACCACATTTGTCAGCAGCGGCCGGGCAGTAATCGGCCAAATGTCCCGAAACTGCCAGAGGTTCCTACAATCAGAATCCATGCTGATTTGTTTTAGGCTTATTAATTCTGCAGGTGTAGGTGAGTAAATTAAAGTCACATGAATTGTCTCTGAATAAGACCACATTCTACCTGTGTAAAGGTGGCTTATTGAGTAAACCAAGGTTTATTATGTGAAATGAGGTTTCTTCTCATTTGCTGTCAGTAGTGTAATTTTCCTTTGAATTAATTACGACAATTGAATCACTACAGCTCAATTCAACAGACTATTGTAATTTATCTTTAGGATTATTCTGGTTAATGTATTCTTTATGGCAATGAATAACCCTGGTGAATTGTGTTTCAAAGTTCCAAATGTCAGAAGGCTTTCAGCTGCTCTAATATGCCACTTTTGAAGTTTGAAAATATTTTTCCAGCTCCCTTTGCTCTTCTTGCAACCTTCCAAATGCCACTAAAAGAGAGAGAAAACATTCTTTATATGTTACATATATATTCTCCAAATGCTTAGCCATAGAATTGTCTAATTAACTTTCAGACCTGTGGCTCTGAGAGTTTCCCACCAGGAAGCAGTTTATTTAAATAAAAATGAATAAACATGTGCTGTTTGTCCCTGAGTTTCAATCCAAATTGCCTGCTGAGATTTCTCTTTAAAGAGATTATTCCAGATAAAGATCCTCAAAAGAACTTCTTTTAAAAAAAATGATGGGGGGGGACGGCATTACGCTATAACCTTCCTCTTAAAACAAGGGTACTATGCTTACTGTTAATATTCTCAAGCATCTGAATATTGAGAACTTCTAGGTAATTTGGGGAAAGCTAAATACTTCCCTTCTGACAGCATTCTTTGACAAAACAAATGCTGAGTGACAAGATAAGCTTAACTGGTATCCCTTTCTAATCTTATTTAGCTTTACAGAGCCAAACTGCATATCATTATCAGCTGTCTTGAAACTTCATTTCGTGTGACTGATCAGGGTGCCTCTCCACAGAAATATTTACCACAGGTTGGTCATCTGCCTTGCATGCACAAGGCTCCCAGCTTCAGTTCCTGGTGTGTCCATGTAGAACTGGGGAACGGTCCTGGCTAAAACCCTAGCAAGTGACTGCCAATCAGAAATTTGGAGGCAACTTTTCAGCATGGCCTTTTCAGGTATCTACAACAGCTTAAGTCAATGTTCTTTCTTCCCTCCTCACTAGCAAAGAGATTCACTTGCCTCCACTAATAGCCCAATCCTTGACATGTCTACTGAAAAGTAAATCCTGCTGAATTTAATAGGACTGACTAAGTGAGTAAATGGGGCACGGGTGGCGCTGTGGGTTAAACCACAGAGCCTAGGGGTTGCCAATCAGAAGGTTGGCGGTTCGAATCCCTGCAATGGGGTGAGCTCCTCCTACTCGGTCCCTGCTCCTGCCAACCAAGCAGTTACAAAGCATGTCAAAGGGCAAGTAGATAAATAGGTATCGCAGGAAGGTAAATGGCGTTTCCATATGCTGCTCTGCTTTGCCAGAAGCAGCTTAGTCATGCTGGCCACATGACCCGGAAGCTGTACGCCGGCTCCCTCAGCCAATAAAGCAAGATGAGCGCCACGACCCCATAGTCAGCCACGACTGGAGCTAATGGTCAGGGGTCCCTTTACCTTTAAGTGAGTATAGATAAATAAAAAATTGTCCAGTAACACCTTAGAGACCAACTAAGATTGTTCTGGGTATAAGCTTTTGTGTGCACGCACACTTCTTCAGATAGACAGTGAGTATAGGGTTGTATTCTTTTCCTCTAGATAGGTTTTTACTCCACCACAGTGCTACCCTGAATTATTAAGTTACTGTACAATCTCTTGAGTAGTTCTGTATATCAAACCTTCTGTTTTCTTCAGCATTACAACATAATTTCTGTCCCTATGAAGCTAATAGCTGCACGGTAATGGAAAAGTGGGCTGTGTTGCAGTGTCCTCCAAAGGAGGATGAATGGGCTGCCCATTCAAATGCTCCACTTATTCATCAAAAAATACTCCTAAAAACTGTACATTGACACACACATATTTCTAGCCATTAAATATTATTGTAATACCTCTAATTTAGAACCAGTGGCAATATGTTTGAGGACAGGGCTGTGGGTGCAAGGCAGCTTGCCCTACACACCCTTAAGCTGGCCTGTGGTCCTCACTTGTGGTAGAGGATGTTGAAGTTAGATTCAGCTGCCAGCCCAGTCGGCTTCTGTGTGTGAATGGGAAGTGGGGATACCCACTTTGTCTCAGGTAGTGTCAGGGCTAGAGTCAGGCGTAGGTCAGCACAACACAATGAATCACTCAAGGCCAGTGAAGCAAACCCTTTATTCAAGGAAACAAGCCACAGCTCTGGCCTGGTGGCCTCAGCAACTCTTTGGAGGTCTTGCAGTTGCAAGGAATGAAGGTCCCCACCTTCCCAGTGCCCATGGAACTCCTCCTCCCCATGCAGTCTCAGGCTGTGAAATGAAGTAGGTGGGCAGAGCAGAGGAAGGTTGTACTCAGGTACAACCTTCCTCTGCTCTGTCCACCCACTTCATTTCTCTATGAGTTCTAGAACACCAGGGAGGAGGTGAGCTGGCCACAGCAGGACAGGGAGATTCTCTGGCTTCTTCCTCAACCAGCTTATCTGCCTCCTGGCCCCACTCCTCTGCATCCAGCCAGTCCATGACAAGCGGCAAGATATCTTGGACCAGCTCCGGATGGAGTTGTCTTGCGATAGCTGCACTTATGCGATGTACATAGTTATGAGAACAGCTCAATTAACTACCATAATTGAACAGCCTTCAAGACCCAGTAAATCTGTTCATGCTTTCCAGAGAGGGGGAACCAAAACACCCTTTGACACCTCTTGATATTCATAAACACTGGTGTTTAACTTTCTCAAAGCTATTACCTTCACCTGAGCAAGATTTTACCTTTTCTACTACTTATTAAAAGAGAGTTCCACAATTTCCATTTGATGACACAGTGTCATCCAAAATAACCAAAATATGGTTCCAACGTTTGGACAACATTCTAGAAATATAATTAAAGCCTTTCTGAAGCATTTGATTAGAATTAATTCTGAGTCCACTAACAGAGTAATAACATTTAGCGTCAATCATTTTAAAAGTGTTCTGCATCATAAGGGAGGAAAGCTATTATCAGGTCTAAGAATTAGCTGTAGTGTCAAGCAAGTAAATAGCCTGTCACACTGCTGTTAATACTGATTAAGCTCTAAGCCCCCTTTCATAAATGAAAGAGGAGAAGAGCAGTGAGCTAAACTGGGGAAACAGCCATCCCATCCTTGACAAGCACAAGGGCATCAAGTCCCAATTTCCCTTTGCAATGTGGCTGTTATGCCCAAACCACTGTCCCCCTGTGTTCTGCTCTCATCAGTTAATACAGGTTTCACATTACATGGGTCAACTGGATCACATGCACAGCTCCAGATCACATGCATCAGCCCCAGTGGGCCCACGGTACTGCAACTGGAAAAACCACATGGGTCTGGAACATGAAGAATTTAAATCAGCCTTCATCAATCTGGTGCCCTCCACATGTTTTGGACTGCAATTCTCACCAGCCTCTGTTCTTGTAGTTCATTTACACAAGCAGCAGAACCTTCGGAGCTTATTGCCCCTGCTTCATCCCTCCATCTTGCTTTTATCCCCTACCTGACCTCTGTTGTTTGTCATCTCCTTTGGACCCAAACTCACATTTCATATTTCTTTCAGTCCCTAAAGTCTCAAACCTGACACTTCTCTGCTTCTGCCTGTGTGTCTTCTTCCTTGCTTTGGTGGAAACTGAATTTGCGACTCTTCAGGCTCTTGTGTCTCCTATACCATGATATTTTCACAACAAAGTTATCAAACTGTTGGGAAAATGGATCAAGATGGGATGTAACAATATTAAGCTGGTTTGTCCTTTCAACCTTTGAATGTATGCTCCAGCACATTTTACAAAGTAAGAGGGGACTGATTTTGTTTGTTGGCCATGGCTGAGATCCAGCAATTTTGCTGCCAGAGGTAAATAAATTTTGCTCCATGTCCTATCTTGATGAGGCAGGGTGAAGAACTATGTTTCTTTCTCAAGCATTTTCCTGATGGTGGCTACTTTCTTTTGCTCCATCTAAGTGATCAGACCAAATATAGAGGGTAAATTCACTTGCATGGAATGCAGGAAAGAGGGCTGCAATCAATAAAGCAGACTGGCATGGTTACCCACCAGACCATATTGTTCCAAAGGTGGGGCAGGGATGATGATACCCTGGGGATTTTTTTCTCCTCCAATCCACAGTTGCAGCGAAGTTTGCCCCTCCCTGAGGATGACGAGGGATGAGCCAATGCAGCCAATGGGGGTGAGAGGATGTGTTCTGCTTTATAAAGGAAGCATTCCCTCCTCTTTCTCAGAGCGTTTATCCCACCCAGCCACCTGAATATGGGATTAGTCAGCTGCCTGTTAAGGAACTGAGTAACAATTTTTTGAGTTGGAAACCAAGAACATCTCTTTTCCACCACCTGCTTCGGTGAATGCCATCATTTAACCATGTGCTGCATCTGTCTTTGTCAGGGAATGGTCGGAACAGGAAGACAGAAGAGGAGGAGGGGGGATTTTGCCCCCTTGCCTATAGTAGAGAGAAAGAGAGCTGCTATAACCATTCGAGGAGGAATTGCCTAGTTACAAGATGGTGGGTAGGACTTCCTGTTGGCACTCAGGAGGTTGTTGGGGACGGAAGGGGCGGGGCTCAGAGTAGCCAACGTCTCTCTTTGTGTGTGTGGAGACATGGATTCTTGTCGTGCAACCAGATGATTGAATAAAAATGACTATAAAATATGAACTGCTTGTTATCCTTGTCTTTGATGCTACTGGAGGGGGAAAGGATCTCCATGCCTGACAGCCTTGCACCCTTCAACATTCTTTTGTCCGTCCTGAATCTTTCAACATTTGGCTTTGTTGGGTGTCCCAAGTCCCCACTTCGTGCATAATTTGATAGACCTCTGTCATGTCTTTTCTTACTGTGTCTTTCCTCTGAACGAAAAAGCCCCCCCCCCCCCCGAAGTCACTCAAAATGGCAAATATATAAAGGGCTCATCATAACCAGTGCTCCCAGTGTAGTGTAGTGGTTGGACAGTTGAACTAGGACCTGGGAGACCAGAGTTCAAATCTCCACTCATCCCTGATGCTTGCTGAGTGACCCTGGACAAGTCGCAGTCTCTCAGCCTAATCTGCTTTACAAGGTTGCTGTGAGAATCAAATGGAGATGAAGGAGAACTATGTATGCCATATCGAGCTCCTTGGATTAAAGGTGGGGTATAAATGGAACAGTAAATAAATAAGGGAAGACTTTTGATTTAATAGCATTAAAAAAATGTGAAGAACCCAGCATCAGAAAAGGAAGAAGGGAAAGACGCCAGAACAATAAATGAAATAAGGTAAATGAAATGAAAAGGGAGTGTGTTCAGACATCTAAAACAGAAAGCTCCCTTGCACATTGCCACCAATCACTCCTCAGAAAGCAGAGGAACAGGGAAGAGAATATAGTTTTAAAAAAATAAAATCCTGTGAGCAAGTCATCTAATCAAAATTGCTACTTAGTTGGTGTTATATTTTGTCTGATGTGCTTATTTACCAGAAGCATTGCTCCTATGGTCCACTGCATCCTGGATAAAAATTGTGCTTGGGAGAATAATGCTGCTTTCGTATTCACTGAAATGAATTTCTTATCCCTGCATGTATTTTGTATAAAGTGTTTTCTATCACATACAAGCAGCTTTTGGAGCTTTCAACATCTCTTTTAAAAGGGGGGGGAGGAGGAAGGGAGAAGAATTACCAGTGTGTGAAAAAAGGAGAAAATGACCAATTATGTTCTGAAGAAAACAGAGATGATTGCTATGCTGAAAGTTTGTTTTTAAAGCACATATACCCCGATGCAGGCAAGAAAACCTGAGTATGCAGTTTGTCATCCTAAAACTCAGGTGGAACTTCTCCCTATGCTATATCCAAAGCAGCTTTTAAGAGAACTCTTGAGGTTTAAAAGCCATTTGTGGCACAGCAGAGAAGAGACAGTTTGCAAATGAAAATATTTTGCTGAATGCATGCAAGGGACTGTCTGGAACAGAACCAAAAGAAAGGAGACAGGAAACCCTTAGTAAGGCAGTATTTGACAGATAGGTGCTTTTAAAGGTGACCTTTTAGAAACATATCTCCAGAGCAGGACGAAAGATTGCAAAGCCATTCGATAGGCGGGTTAAGCACTTCATGCATTTTCCCAGATATGTCTTCTTATTTTTCCTTCCATATGCCTTATTCACTTTGAGAGTAAAATAAAATCAAGCCAATGTAAACAAAGAAGACATTTTAAATCAGGGACCTTCAGAACACAGAGAAAGTCCTGCAGCTTCTGTAACATGGCTGAGGCAGAGTTTAATGGGACCTGCCTCCTGGTAAGTGAGCAAAGGGTTGCAACCTAAATTTAGGGACACATTTTCCCTTTCCAGTTAAAACCAAGAATGAATCTAAAAACTTTGATGAGATATGGGTGAATCCGTCGATTTCAGTTTCTCAAATTCAGTTCTCCACATTTCCACGTCAGTTGGGTGAAAATTCACCAGCCTTTTAGTGCAAATATCTCATGATATACACGTTTTTTCAAATGTAATTTTGAAAAATCCGCCGAAGTGCAAATTTTGAGGGATAGATCTGTTTGGGTTCACATATGGTTTCAGAAAGTACAAATTGAGCAGGCTCACCCTTAAATGTGAACTGAATTGAATTTCTTCCCCATCGGTAGCAGAGCTGTGAGTCAATGCAATACAACATAGAAAGTTGCGGCAAATGATATTGTGTCCATTCATTGCAAGTATCCACTCCTAACTTGTGGTTCTGTGTCCTCAGGTTGCAATGCAGTACAGGAAGAGAAGGAAGCATCAGCAGATAGGCTCACCTGGCTTGTTTTTGTTTTGTTTTGTTTTTTACATATCTTTAGGCACTAGGCAAAAACATTCCTCTTCTCCCTGGCTTTTGGCTAATTAAACAATCTATGGCCTTTTAAACTGTCGGAGGTATTGTTACCTTGCCTTTACCTTTTTACTATGGCACAATGACTTTTTGTGTGTTTTTATATTGTAAACATCTCTGTGATTCTAGGATGAAGGGTGGCATAGAAATAATAATAATAATAATAATAATAATAATAATAATAATAATACTGCCACAATCTGCTCCCTTTCTCCAGCACAATAGACAAACTTCAACTATCTTTCTAACACACACAATGAATGGGGAAGGGGTCCCACTTTACATGCAGCAAATGAGGTTTCCAAGCTACATTTCCCCTCAGCATGAGTTATTTATCTCCCCAGAGTAGTCTACAATTGGTCTCTGCTTGTGTTCAGCAGCCGTGGAAGTCACCTGAGAAGGTTGGATCGAGCTTTGTGTCAGCAATAAGTTGGTGACATCAGTTCTCGTCTCCTTTTTTTTAATCTGCTCCAGGTAATGTCAGAATTTATTCTGAATTTGGCCAGGATAGTGGAGTTGATGCAGGCAAGCCAACTGCAGCTGA